AAAGTAAGCTAAGTAGCCAATAGAAGGCTTAGAAGTACAGATAGATGTGGGCTCACTATTTGGCAAGCAACCGGTCACAGTCGCCCTGTTTATCTCATGTCTTATAAAAGCTTATTAAGGATTTATAAAGTGTTCACAACCTAATTAATTAATTAATTACAAACTATTCGTAAACCCTTTATAAGGGTAGTCTTATTGTAAAGTGCTACCCATTTTCCTAACCCTGCTACGCCGGCCATAATGTCCCTTTACCCGCATAGCGCAATTTATCACTCTCACCCGCGCATGCGCACTAGCTGCCTCCTTTACTGGAGTTACAACTTGGGCAGCGAGTGGGGAAACTGTACGATCAACATTACGTGGCTGTGTGGGTGTGTGGAAAGAAGAGACACTTAAAACTGGAATACATTTTATCTTTTTTTTATTTTGAAAAGAAGACTTTGAAACCAGTGGGTCAAACAGGGAGGAGGCGGGATTCGCCCTTGCGTCCTGGCCGGAGAAATCACCTCTCTCCGCCGGGACGCTTCCTCCCACCGTCAGTCCAATCCTGGAGGACGAAGCTCCCCTCCCGGTACCCCTTTGCTGTGGCGCAGCGGGGGCCGGAGCGGGGCCAGAGCAGGGGCCGCAGCAGGAGCCGCAGCGGAAGCGCAGCAAAATACTTGAATATCTTATCCATATGTACAAGCCTCTCGCGGTCACGCGACAGCGGGGGCAGGGGCCTTCTCTCCTCTGCCCACCCGGCTGTCGGAAGCAGATGGGCCGCTAGGCTTTCCTCCAGCGGGGGCACACCGGGACACTCCGTGTCCGAGTGGATTCCAGCCCAAGTAGCCACCGGAGCCTTCATTCTCAGTGGCTGCCACCACGTGGCCTCCGAACACCACTGGACATCTGGCAGTGGGGGGTGAAACGAAGGCCGGCTGTGCTGGACGGGCCGTAAAAGCCCTGACGCAGGCGGCTCACCGGCCTCTGTGGCAACGGTGAGGGGAGCGTTACAAAGTCTGCTGAGAAGCCCTGTCGTGCAGACCCGCTCTGCTGATGGCCTTCCTGACAGTCACCGGAGATCTCGGACGACGAGGTGTCCTCATCATTGTCCCTCTCTCCGACGCTCGGACCCGTCCGGCGTTGAGATGGCGAATGCGCAGAGCACTCCCTGCTCGAGCTCCTCAATCTCCATCACGTCGAGCTCTGGGTCCTCCACCGGCGAGACGCAGCACCCCTCAAACAGCGCCGACCTCTGATGGCGACTGGAGCGAGGAATCAATCGACAGGCGCTGCAAACTGCAGTCGGAGCTAGGTTAGCCGCCGCGTGGTCGGACCCCAGAACTCGATACACCGTGCATGGGGGTCGATGGAGCCCGGACACAAAGGACAGGGGCGCTCCACAGATGAGTCCATTGTCCGTAGGTTTCTTGAAAAATATTTTCTTTGTCCGTCTCTCTTCACTCAGTTACTACAATGCTGCTTAGCTGAAGAGAAAGGGATAGCAATGAGGAGCCGAGGCCGCCTCTTATGCAATGAGGTGCGCGTGCATACAGGTAAGCCCGCCCAGGGGCCGGCCACTTCTATGGAAGTCTCAGTGAAGGAATGCGCACATGAATAGGATACATGGGAGTACCCATAGAGTCCAGTAGAGGGCGGAGCCTGTGAGAGATATAACCCATCATCAGTTGGACCAAAGCACATAAAACTATTGGCCAATAATGCTTGGACTAAAAATGGGAACAAGATTGCTTCTGATACTTAAATATTGTGTCATTACTATAGATATGTCACAATCCTGGTGTTGGTCCTTTTGGGTTTCCTGTTATATTTTGTAGAACCCTCTACTTTTTTTCTTTAAATTCCTGTCTTTGTGTTTTCCTGCCTTTTGTGATTGTCTGCCCCGCCCTGCTTCTTTCCACCTGTGTGTTTTTACCTTTCTGAACCTTCTGAACCTTTTCTGACCTTTTTGTGTTGCCTACCTTTCACAGCTGTGTCTTGTTTTGTCATAAGTATTGTGAGTACACAGTACTGTATATGCCCGTCTTTACCAGTGTTCTCTGGCAACATCAGGTAAAACAGACGACAGCCTGGCATGCGTCCCTAGCTGACCATCATTTTACTACTTTGTTCCTCTTGCCATCCCAGTTGATTCCATCTTTAGTTTAGGTGCTTTGTATTATTTTGCCTGGTCCATTGATTTTTAAATCTCGCTTTTTGTTTGTTATACCTGCCTCCCTTTTGTTAATGCATTTTCTTCTGACCTCCTGCTCAAAGCGTGACAGTCCTTAGATTGTGAATAATGTGATAGAAAAGACTAACTTTAAAGTCACTTTTACCAATCAGTCAGATTTCCTTCTAAACGTAACACATAAAATCAATTAACACAGTTACTGGCTCTTTCCACATTTCTTGCTTTCATTGTTGCTCATAATATAAAGATGATGTCCAAAGAGATTCAAGCAGAGAAATATGATAAATAATGGAGCATTTGCAAGTTATCACATCAGTTAGTATGAGTGGTTTGCTGTTTTCTAACATCTAGTGGGTGAAAGCTATTCATACTCATGTCTCTCATGTCTGTGAGAACTTACCACACAATTGTGTGATGTTAGTGTCTGGGAAAATAGTCTGGGAAGCTGAAAGTAATGAGACAGTGAAGGACGATCTCTAGAGTAAAGTGTGCTGAGTGAAGGTGAACCATAACACATTTTCCTACCTGATGAACAGAACACCTGGATGACCCAGAGGCACGCTGCCGCCCTGTTTGCGTGTTGGTCGTTTTTTCTGAGCAGATTCAGAGTCAGCAGCACAGCTCCTGCCTCATCTGCCTTCATACCGATTCGGCGGTCTGTGCAGACACAAATGTAAAAGTATTCATGTACAGTATGTGTAGATTGCAATGTCCAGCTGAAGAGTTCAGAACCAGCTAACCATTTAATGTATTTTATAATCAATATTCATTATTCCTACTGATCCATCCCCGTGATTGGCTCTGTTGGCTTACACACAAAACAAATGTATTGCTCACCTGAAAAGGTTTTAAACTCCTAGTTTTGATGTTACATTATGTTGCTTACCATTTATTTGGAGTAGGAAGAGGAGAAAGTCGCATTATGTTATGTCTAGGTTCCCCTATTACACTAAAGGTGTCTAAATCATGCAATTTGTGTGCACAAATAGTTGGAATCTTTATAATAGGCACATTACTAGAAATGTTTAAGGGTAGATACAAAGTCAACATTATGTGGTGTACATCATCTGAACTCTTGGAGCCTCAGCTCAGCACTGTATGTCAAGTTATTTTAATCATAAATCAGATAAAAGGGCCAAATATCCCTTCAGCAAATATTGTTTGGACAATATCTTGCGGAAGACAATGGAAAGGCATGCTGTGAGTTGGGATCAATAAAGTTTGGGGCATGGGTGGCGAGCACTTCCGTTCTGAAAATACCATATCCTTATTGTCAATATAAGTAATCCTCTGAATGATCTTACTCAGTAGTTTGTGGTTGTAAAGTTTCACGAGGCTGTGAAAATCCGAACACTCAAAACAGCTTTTCTTTTTCAGTGAAGTCAAGTGTCATACCAATGTAATGACCACTATGCGTATTGACATAATTCCACGATACAATACGGCTCATTGGATCCACATGGATATCAACTTTCCATTCATTTACCTTTTCATCCATTCTCACCTCTCTGTCCAACTTTAGCCAGCAGGTGCAGCAGTGGCACCAGGAGGGTGTAGTTGGGACTGAAGCTGCGGGCGGTGGTGACCAGTGCGCTGAGCAAGGCCTCGCTGCCACCCTTACTGATCATATAGTGGATACGACGATCCGTACCTGAACACAGAGAGAGATACTAGAGATACTAGAGCTCAAAACAGCTGAAGTTGGCTTGAAGTGAAGGACAGAGGTCGGACTTCTGAAAGAGTCTGATGGATTTAAATGTTTTCGATGTGTTGATTCTCCTAACCTGGTCCTTCCCACCCATTCTATTACCTGCAGGTCATTCCTCCCTGCTTCATTGACTATTGATTTATTGAATTGCAGTCAAGGGGTTAGACCTAAACTTACCAGCAGACAGAAGTTCATCCAGGACATTGAGAATATTTAAGGTACTCTCCACATCCCCTGCATTCTGTAGAGACAAGAGAACAAAGTAAGAAAGCATATGAAAACTAACACTAAATAACTATTAAACAATAAACCAAAAACCTATGGGAAAAATGCTTTGATGGTAAATGTGAAGAAATAAGAAAACACAAAAGCCTGTTATCAGATAACAAACACAGAAACCAACATGACCCTACACCACTTCAGGAATACTTTGAACAGTGGCGAGCCGTCAGAGCCCCTCTCCGAGGCCTAAGATATTCTACAAAATAATATTTAAAAACATTAAAAATATATATATATTTTTTAAAATATTTTAATAGGTTATATTTTTCATTAGTTTTACCAAAATAACTTGATTTAATTGTATTTAAAATAATATTTCCAAAGAAATAAATCCTTCAAATCTGCCTATTCAGTTTCTGTTGGAATGTGAGGGGTTAAATGAAAGGAGCTCCTTCAGCCGTCTCTGCAAGTTACTGTGAAGATAGGAGCTGTTTGGCGGTCCAGCTATGAATTCACAGAGGGCCCTCTATACACAAGTTATTGAGCCGTTTCCGCTCTACATCCTGAACTCCTCCCTTCGATGCAATGCACTTCCGTTTTGGCGGACTGGGTTTGTTTTGCTAGCTAGCTCCGTTGTGCCGACAAAGCACTGATATCGCAGAGACAAAGAGGATATAACAATTACAACATGAAGAAAAGTGGTTCGGGAACTACGTGTGCGGTAGTTGGTTGCAATCACTCGAGAAAGCACCTGAACGAGTGGTTAGATAGAGAGTGCTACGACCACAAACCAGCACCCAGCACCCAGCCATGTTGTTCATTAAATACAGATAAACACAACAAATACTGCATGCATTGTATTTTTTAATATTATATATGAATATTTTCATAGTGATGTAATTGTGTGGGCTGCTTTTATATTTTAATTTGTAATACCTGTTAGGATTAAACATGTGATCTTCCTTGTTGAAGCCATTTCTTTAGTTTCCTCTAAACAATTAATTCATTCAGTGTTATTTATGTACAGTATGAGCTTAATATGAATGATGAACTGTGTTAAAAGAAATTGTAGCACTCTAAGGAACATATGAAATGCAATAATGCAATAACAGTGCAATAATGAAATTAAATTACATCAAACTTTATTTTCACTCAAACAGTACAGGCACATATGATATATTGCACAGCATAAAGAGATGTAAATTGTGCATTATGTAAACAACAGACAACTGTTGGCTCCTGTGGGCATGACCTAAATAAGGCAGTTTATTTTGGTTTTAAAATGCTGAGATATTTACTGCAGAACTGTAACCTTCCCTCAACAAAATCGTCAACAATTTTCGGGAGCATGAGGGCAAAGTAGAATGTGCGCAGCCTTATGATATGCCCCTGGACAAAGTCTTGGTCGTAGGGTACTTCGATTTCTAGGTGCTCAGTTTTGTTCCAGATCACCAACTTGGAGTGCTGAAGCCCTGTGCAGTGCATCCCAATTTGTACCTGCATATAGTAGCCTTTTGGACCATTGCAGGCAATATGGTAATCTATCCTATTTCCGTTTGCCACAGTTGTGATTTCACAGTTCTTTGTTGCCAAAAATTCTGCAAGTGACTTGTTTCCCAACACAGGTGATTTGATCTCCAACAGAATGTCTTTGTTTATCACTCCATCGGGAGATGCTGCAAGCCACGGA